TTACTTATTTAATATTATAATTAATTAATTTGTATAGAATAAATGAAATTTCTTTTATTTTATTTTTATTTTATTTTATTTTGTAATAAAAATTTTTTAATTTTGAAAAATTATATTTATTTAATGATTAAATGTATAAAAATTGCAATCAAAATTATGCATATAATTTAATGTTTATATATTAAAATGCAACCAAAAATAATGTATACAATATACTGATTAAATGTAAAAAATGCAACTAAAATTAACATATATAATATACTGTTTAGACGTAAAAAATCCAATCAAAAATAATGTATACAATATACAAATTAGACATAAAAAATGCAACTAAAATTAATGTATATAATATACTGATTAAACGTAAATTTTGTATTTATTTACATATAGAAAAAGATGATTTTCAGTATCTAATATACGGAAATATTTACAATATACTATAAAATCTTACCAAAAATAACATATATAATATACTGATTTGACGTATAAAATTTAACAAAAATTATGTATATATTATATTGATTAGATATATAAATTCAGTATTTTTTTGCATACGGAAAAAATGATTTTCAGTATTTAGTATATAGAAATATTTACGAATTTATTATACTATTTTTCTATGTTTATTATACATTTTTTAAACATATTATTTCTGTATACTTTCCTTATACATATTATTTATAGGGTTGTATCATTTCATAAATTTAAGCTTGCAACATTTTTCATTACTTCAGCAATTTCTGTTAAAATCCCCTTTTCATTTCGAAATTTTTCTGTTAAAATTTCTTCTGTTAGTATTATTTTATTTTACTAAAGCATTTGCTTCATTATATGCATTATTAATAAAAACTCTAATTTCAACATCTGTAGGTCAAATTTTTAAATTTGAATTTAAGTTATTAACATTTCCTTTAAAATAATAACAAATATAATCTATTAAATTTTTTATAAATACATTAGAGATTAATTATAATAATAAAATACTTTAAGATTGTTAAATAAACTAACTAACTCAAAAAGTTTTATAATTAGAATTTGGATTGATAACCCTAAAATTATAATAAGCATTTGTAATATAGTAAATTTTGGAAATTAGATAAATCAAATCTGCATATGTAAAGTCTAGCAAATGCTGCTATGTCATTCCAAAAAAAATGCTCACATATTTCACTACCATGTATCTAAGGTAATAATGGCATTAAATTATAATATTCTCAATGTATAGAATCTGTAATAACAAAATTATCATTATTATTTATAAACATTATTATAAAAAAAATTAAAGTTTGTATAATACCATTGAATCAACAAGAAAAGATAATATCTTATAAGTTTGATGTATTAAAAAATTATGATCATTTGAAAAAATCTCTTTATATTTATTTGTTACATTTTGAATAAATTATTTCTATATTATATTTTTAGGAAAAAACTACCTATCATAACCATTTTGATTCTTTTATGATTAGAAATATCTCGATTAAGATACGAATCAATCAATTCTCCTTTTAAAATAATAAAATAATATATTGGTAACTTAATGATAAAAAAGTTTAAATAAATAATAAATTAAGTCTTAAATTACTAATAATAATGATAATAAACAAATAAATTAGTAATCCTTTATTTTTAAATCAGAATTTAAAGTTTGATATACTTCATATAAAAATTTGTAAGAAAAAAGCTGATATGTAGCATTATCATCTTACTTGTTAACGTTTAAAATTTCTGCATGATACAGAGCAGAATTTAGAGAACTAATACATGACCAAAATCTAAAAACTATCTCTAAAAGTTAGCATCTATACATTACTAAAAATACTATTTCATCCATTTTTTTTTACATGCTTAGGATCCAAAAATACAGACAATAGGACCAACATTTAAAATTATAGGACAGTATAATTTAATATCTAAATAAAATATATTAATAATAAAGAAAAATAAAAAACTAAAAAACTGATACAAAAAAAGTTAATTACATACTATATAATTCATCAATAAATTTAGTTTTGTTTTAGTATTAGTTTGCATAATATTTTTTTGAGCTTTAATTTCTATTGATATGCTATCAGCTTCAATTGATAGAATATGAATTTTAAAATGTGCCGCAAGTTCTAATACTTGATTATGAATTTTGTATACATGAGATACATTTTCATTATTATTTGAAATGATTCCAAGTACAAATGGTGGTACTTTAGGAACTGGTACTTGCAAAATATATACATAAACATATTTAGCTATTGCATTATTAGTTTGAATCTTTTTGATAATAGTATCAATTTCATTATAAGAAGATACTAAAGTTTCTTATAATGTTAATGTAGAACTAAGAATAGCATTCAAACTTGCAAAATAACTTAATTTTTCTTAAGGTTTTGTGTTGTCTATTGATGCAATAATTGGTCTATCATAATTTATGCTGTTTAAAAATTTTCTAAATTTAGCCATATTTTCAAAGCATATTAACAGATCATCAATTGCTAAATCTGATCAAACATGTTGTATATTAAATTAAAAATAAAATATAAATTAATAATTTCATACGTCAATTGTATAGTAAAAAAAATATTTACTGGATATTTCAAATTGTTCTTCCTACAAGATTTTTTTGAAATTAGCATATGGGTTGTGAGCTAGGAAAATGAGATTCTGGGACATTTTAACCAAAGTTAAAATTTTTACTTTATATTAAAGTTGGATACATTAGCTTTAATTAGTTAAATTTTTATAGCATATTAACATAATATATTTTTTTTTTTTTTTTTTTTTTTTAAGGTGCTACGACGCCGATTGATGACCTCGTTGCACTTAAACCTAGTCAACAAGTT